ACACTTTGTATAGAAAAGTTCGATGAATATTTCTAAACAACGAATTTTCTTACATATATATATCTGAGTCGTACGATATTCCCTGGACATGACGAACAGTTTACATCGCGACTTGATATTTTATATATTCTGCGCTTACACAGAGGCTAGACCTTTAACAACCGTCGAAACGGCGGTCCGTACATGAAATTTGCGGTCCGCAGACCCAGTTAATTTCAAACAGTCTCTTTACCCTTCGTTAGATTGAAAACGTCGGGGCGAATTCATTATAAGAATTCATCGTTATAACTAACTTTTATTCTCGCTCGGAGAGTATTGAGTTGATTGCATTTGTATATTTTATTTTCCGCATAAGAGTCTTTGCGTCAACGACACATGCCCGCGGATATGCTGTACAGTATGGTTGAACACTTATAAATAAGGTCCAGAACCCGGCCGTAAACCGACATCCGAACATATACGGCGTATATTATTCTAGACACGGTCTACGACAGTTTGACCTGCAGCGACGGGTCGCCTCGGGTTACCGTGCGAACCATCACCGCGATGGTCTGGACAGGCTATATGGCGGGTCGCAAGAAAATAAATTCTCTAGGACGCGCAACCACTTTAGCAATTTTAGAGCACGTTGTGGTCCAAAAACAAACGTCCTCGCTTTAAAATTGAAATATGAATATTTCACTGTGTGTGAGATTGAAAAATCTGCTTTCGCTGATTTTTCATTTTCTTAAAACAACGCAATGAAGCGAATGTTCAAATTCGCACAATTTGAATAAAATGTGCAGAGTATATAGAATACTAACGCAAGCGTTTACTACAATCGACTTTAAAACACTAGACTTTCATCTAGCGCCCAAAGAATTGATTGAGCTATGCGTTTAAAGTATAATATTCAAAAAGAACGCCGTTTTCACAACGAACTTCGTCATTCGCTCAGGCATCTGGCGATACCGAGCAGATATACATGGCAGTGCTCTCACACAATGCATAAGAGCGCTAAGCGGTTGTAAACTGCGTCACGCTGCTTTTGCACACTGCGCAATATTTTGCGACTAGCTCCGGTCAAACGTTAATGAAACGAATGATCATTGCCAGAAGCTTTTGCCCACAGTATATTATACTATAGGAGCGCACTTGATTACAGCAATAATTTGTCGAGTAATCACAAGATTTCATATTTGTGGTCAGCAGACCCAAATAATTTTAACTCGCACCGATCGAACGTTCATAAATGAATGATCCTCGGTGCGAGAAGCTTCGTCAGTTCTGCTGCACCACCCATCTATTTGACTTTAGTCCATTTGTAAAATCCTATATTATTAAAATATATAGATTTTATATTTGCGGTCCGCAGACCCAAATAATTTCAACTCGCTCCGATCAAACGTTCATAAAACGAAAGACCATCGCTGCGAGAAGCTTTGCTAGTTCTGCTATATTCACATATATTTGACCGTAGTCAATTTGTAAAATTCTATATTATTAAAATATATAGATTTCATATTTGCGGTCCGCAGACCCAAATAATTTCAACTCTCTCTGATCGAACGTTTAAAAACGAATGATCCTACCACCAGTTATCTATAGCCGCAAACCAGCATCCGAATATATACGGGGTATATAATTCTAGATGTGGCTCACAACATTATTAAAAGTTACGCTAATATATCATTGACAGACTAAAAGTATCGAATATGATGTAAAAACTACACCGGGGAATGATATCCGTACCCGCCCGAACAACATAGCGTACTTTAGCCTGAGCTTGCTCGCATCGCACTCGACACGACCTATTCCCCTATATAAGGCGCGCGGCCACAGCGTAGGTATTTGACTGAGTCCCAAGCGATGTGCATTTGACCTGCGGCGAGGGCCTGCTCGCGCTTACGGTGTGAATCGTCAAGACAAAAGTCTGGGAAAATTTCGAACTGTGAACCCTTATGATAGAAAAATTTTTGTCGAAAATTTTGTTAGATGTTCAAACAGTTTTATATATATGGACAATATGAATTATAGTTAATTATTGAGTTTTTAGGTGTTTTTTGGGTTTTTTTAAACTTTTGTATAAAATTATGTATTTATTGATTTTTATAGATCTCAATGAATATAAAACGAATTTATATATAGTTATATTATTTTTTATAATTATTTGTTTAAATTTTCTAATTTTACAATAAATGTTCAAACCAGTTTTCCTCGATTTTCTCTTAAACCGTAAAAGATACAAAAAACTTTGTTCGTACGAAAGATGCAGAATAAAATTACGAATAAAATGGTATATAAATGGTTAGGTGTGTTCATATAATTTTCTCTAGATTTTCCGATTTTTCCAAATTTTCACGACGGCAACTCGCCTGTAGGCTACACCGTGCAAAATTCGAAGTTGTGATGTATGGAAAAAGAACTAAGAATTTTGAGACCTTTCTAATGATGTATAATAGTTTATATGTTTTCTTTAGAGAAATATCGAATCGTGAGGAGTATTGCTCCAACCTAGCCGCACTTTGCATTTTGACAAGTTAACATCTACACATATTGCTCTATAACATAAAACCGTAAAAGATACGAAAAAACTTTGTTCGTACGAAAGATGCAGAATAAAATTACGAATAAAATGGTATATAAATGGTTAGGTGTGTTCATATAATTTTCTCTAGATTTTCCGATTTTCCGAATTTTCACGACGGCAACTCGCCTGTAGGCTACACCGTGCAAAATTCGAAGTTGTGATGTATGGAAAAGAACTAAGAATTTTGAGACCTTTCTAATGATGTATAATAGTTTATATGTTTTCTTTAGAGAAATATCGAATCGTGAGGAGTATTGCTCCAACCTAGCCGCACTTTGCATTTTGACATGTTAACATCTACACATATTGCTCTATAACATAAAAACCGTAAAAGATACGAAAAAACTTTGTTCGTACGAAAGATGCAGAATAAAATTACGAATAAAATGGTATATAAATGGTTAGGTGTGTTCATATAATTTTCTCTAGATTTTCCGATTTTTCCGAATTTTCACGACGGCAACTCGCCTGTAGGCCACACCGTGCAATTCGAAGTTGTGATATATGGAAAAAGAACTAAGAATTTTGAGACCTTTCTAATGATGTATAATAGTTTATATGTTTTCTTTAGAGAAATATCGAATCGTGAGGAGTATTGCTCCAACCTAGCCGCACTTTGCATTTTGACAAGTTAACAACTACACAGATTGCCTTATACTGTCTAAACCGTAAAAGATACAAAAAACTTTGTTCGTACGAAAGATGCAGAATAAAATTACGAATAAAATGGTATATAAATGGTTAGGTGTGTTCATATAATTTTCTCTAGATTTTCCGATTTTTCCGAATTTTCACGACGGCAACTCGCCTGTAGGCCACACCGTGCAAAATTCGAAGTTGTGATATATGGAAAAGAACTAAGAATTTTGAGACCTTTCTAATGATGTATAATACTTTATATGTTTTCTTTAGAGAAATATCGAATCGTGAAGAGTATTGCTCCAACCTAGCCGCACTTTGCATTTTGACATGTTAACATCTACACATATTGCTCTATAACATAAAAACCGTAAAAGATACGAAAAACTTTGTTCGTACGAAAGATGCAGAATAAAATTACGAATAAAATGGTATATAAATGGTTAGGTGTGTTCATATAATTTTCTCTAGATTTTCCGATTTTTCCGAATTTTCGGCAACTCGCCTGTAGGCCACACCGTGCAATTCGAAGTTGTGATGTATGGAAAAAGAACTAAGAATTTTGAGACCTTTCTAATGATGTATAATAGTTTATATGTTTTCTTTAGAGAAATATCGAATCGTGAGGAGTATTGCTCCAACCTAGCCGCACTTTGCATTTTGACAGTTAACAACTACACATATTGCCTATACTGTCTAAACCGTAAAAGATACAAAAAAACTTTGTTCGTACGAAAGATGCAGAATAAAATTACGAATAAAATGATGTATAACTCGATATATGTCATAATATATTTTTCATGAGATTTTTCAATTTTTACTTTAAATTAAAAAATGTTTGAAATTTTTCGCTGACTTTAAATTCATTTGCGGGTTATGCTTTTTTTCAATATTGTTTCAAATGATGTAAAAAGTTAAATTAGCGAGGTGCCTCAATATGCAAAAAATTGGCCCACCCTAATATATATATATATATATATATATATATATATAGATATATTTATTATAATAAAATGTTAGTGAATATAAGGGCGTAGATAGTTGGTGTTTTTATGCTGAGCTCTAAACTTATACTGAATACAAAAATAGTTAAAAATTAACATTAATAATATTAGCCCCGCCCGTAAGAGGCGGGTTACATTAATTTGGCATCTACGGGGGATGATCTGAAGGCATTTGCAGACCCATTAAATAAAATTACCAGACAGTCCAGACATATAACTAACATCAAATAAAAAATATCTTATATTACAAATGCATTTAGCACTTAAACTGTGAATGACAATTAGACCACCTGCATCATAGTCCGGCGACACTCTACAAAAAATATTTCATGTGTAAAATGAGATGCAGACAGTCGTCTGCACCCCCAGGCGACAGGCTATCGTACCAGAATACAAGACGGTACGATACCCTTACAAAAATAGTTCAGATTACCACTATTGGGAATCATTAACATGGCGGGCACCTTGAAATAATACTAATATTATTTCGAAACTAAAGATACATTAATTATAAGCCTAATAATATAGGTAATTAAAAAAAAAAAAATAAGAAAGTAATACAAAGTAACTAATTTAAACTTCACTAACTCATGTCACAAATTGAAAGTTATTAAATTGTATCAAATTGTTTGTCATAAAATTGTTTTGTTTCCATTATTTTGTACACTTCACTTAGTTATATATTCACATGATTTGTTCATTATCAATGGGTAAAACACAAACCTTAGGGGCAGCTCTTTTGAAAACGTTATTTTGAACTTTCACTGTCACTACACGCACTTCCTTATCTAGTCCTGGATGCCCTCGATAATGCGACCTAATTGCCAATTCAGTGGAGGTACATTATCTTCTTTGAGAAGTACCATGGTTCCGACCTTTAATGATTGGTTTGCACGGCCTGTGCATTTTGTTCTACTCTGCAACTCCGAAATGTATTCCTTATGCCAGCGTTTCCAAAAATGTTGTGCCAAACGCTGCAGGTGCTGGTAGCGTCCTAGTCTATTTTTAGGAATGTCAAGTACATTTGGGATGGAAATAGATGTTAAGAATTTGCCAATTAAGAAATGGCCAGGAGTCAATGGATTTAAATCATTAGGATCGGAACTCAAAGGAGAAATTGGCCTGGAATTTAAAATAGCTTCGATCTGTGTTAAAATTGTATAGAAATCTTCAAAGGTAAGGCATGCATTTCCTAAAATTCGCTTTAAATGCGACTTACATGATTTTATACCGGCTTCCCAAATACTCCCAAAATGAGGTGATTTAGCAGGAATAAAATGCCAATTGATGCCGTCGTCACTTAATGATTTCATAACATTACTAAGGTATTTTTTGCGCAAAAAATTAGCTAATCTTTTAATTTCCGACGATGCCCCGACAAAATTTGTTCCGTTGTCTGAATAAATGTTAGTGGGTTTTCCCCGACGTGCGATGAATCGTCTGAGTGTAGCTAAGAAGCATTCTGATGTTAATCCGATACTAGTTCTAAATGAATGGCTCGCGTACTAAAACAAATAAATAGGCATATATACCCTTTAATTTTTTTATACCCTCTAGTACGACGATCTCGCAACGTAATCGGACCTCCAAGGTCCACGCCGCAATTCGTGAATGGCAAATGGGGGGTGACGCGGTTTTTTGGCAAATCGCCCATTAATGGGGAAATAGAAGTAGGATTAACATTGAAGCAGATGACGCATCTTCGTATAATACCTTTACACAGATTTCTACCGTTGATTGGCCAGTATGTCTCTCTGAGCGTATGCAACAAGCGTTGCGCTCCAGAATGAAAAGATTTGATATGTTCATATCTGGCAATCAACGATGAAAGTGCATGATTTTTAGGTAGAACCATTGGGTGACGCTTATCGTAACCGAAATCAGACAATTTTATTCTACCGCCAACTCTCAAAATACCGTTTTCGTCTAAAAATGGGTTGAGAGATTTTAAATCTGATATAGTTTTTATTGGCTCGTGGTTTGATAGAGATTCTATTTCATTTTTGAATCTTTCACGTTGTGCTAATTTAATTAATTTTACGCGAGCATCATTAATTTCGGTGGTTTTTAATTCACCGTGGATACGGTCGCCCTTGTTTTCTTGGCCTTGTTCTTGCAATTTTTAAGGAACCGAACACAATATTCAATGACCCTAACTCACTTTGTATATGATGAATACATATTAAATATATTAGTTGTGGTTTGTTCTATTACTGTTAACGAAACATGTTTAATTTCTTCTTCGGTTTCTGATATGATATCTACGCCAAAAGAAAGTTTGTCAGTGGTATTCAACCAAGATGGACCGAACCACCACAAATCTGAATTAATTAATACTTCCGGTAACATTCCTCGCGAAATTAAATCGGCAGGATTATCTTCTGATCTAACATGGTACCAATTGTTTGGATCCGTATTGGTTTGGATTTGCGAAACCTTATTAGCAACAAACGTTTTCCACTTGTGGGAAGGCGATTTAATCCATGCTAATACTATTTTTGAATCGCTCCAAAGCATTTCGCGATTAATGGAAATTTCTAAATTATCTTTAACTTTATTAACTAATTTTGATAATAAATGAGCCGCGCATAATTCTAAACGCGGCGATGTGATGTTTCGTAACGGAGCAACCCGCGATTTTGCCGCTGCAATATGTACTGAGCAATAAATGTTATCTTATATATAAAATGGAGCTCTCTTTCAAATGTCCGAATAAAACTCGAAAACGGCTGACTCGATTTGGCCAGTCTAAGTCTTGAAAAATTCGTGCCAATCCAGAGAAAGTCCAAAAGGTGAGAAATATTTCAAATCTGCGTAGAAACTTTACATTTTTAATTTGAAAATTTTTGTAGAAGCGTAATTTAAATAAAACAATGGACGGTGGCTAATACGCGAAATGTCAAACGTTTTTGACAGATGATGTCCTTGTCTTTACAATTGATATCATTGTCTTGTGGATCGATTTGTCTAAAAATTCAGAGTCGCTAACATTTAATTCACTTTCTGCGTTCAAAGATTCCAGAAATACACTGGTTGCATTTTTCAAATAATATAAACTTATATAATAATCTATAAAAATAAGTTGAAACTAAGACACTTTTTTTCTTTCATTTTATTTCAGTATCCACATAAATATGAGTTACTTCTGTATCACTATACAAGATGAATAGTAATTACTTTCAATAAATTTTATTTATTGTGTTAAACGAAACTCAAAACAATCTAGTGAAAATCTAGTAATAATGCTGCAATCTGCACTTTCACAATATAATAAAGAATAAATAATATACATTGTTGTCTATAAAGAAGTAGGTGATAAACGCATGTAATCTGTGTTTATTGTTATTTCAGTCATTTGACTTAATTGCTTATAGCAATGTAACATTGAAATCACAAGATGAATTTTATACTTCTAACTAAAATAAAGTCATAACTTCATTTTACAATTTAATTGCCCAACCAGTCTCGTTGACTAGCATAGTAAATAAATAAATAATATATTTATTACTAATAAAAATAATAAATTTCATTTCTCATTCAACTTTAAATATTTCTTTTTCGTATGATATGCACAAAATTTCTTTACAAAGGTTTTGCTGGTCTTATAAGCAATGGCAACAGCTTCTGTTATTTATTTTATTACAAAAAACAATTATAATTACACATGATATAACAATATAATTAACCATGTATATATATAACAATACATAACATAAAATAAAATACAATCTAATTATTAACTGTAACACTAAATTATATTTCATGGAAGTAACATAGTTGTGAAGAAATATCAAGATTAACTTGTGCCCATGGTAATTAGTTGTTTTATTGGTGTATTATGAACATCGGTATCTTTATTGAATTCAAGTTAGAGGACATCAGTACTATAATGAATTTAACAGCATTAGACTTAGGAATATGATACTTGTAAAATATTTGAGCTTTTGAAGAGAATCTATAAATTTGAGAGTTTATATAGAAACAAACTGTTAGTATATCAGTAAAACGACGCGTGGCAAGAGATGATATTTTTGCGTTCTGAAATGTAGTTATTTGATAATTTTTGTTGAGCCTTCTCTACCGCATCGGAGTTATTACTAAGTTGAGGATACCAAATAATCGATTGACCGAAGTTTGGATCGTGCAATTGCATAGTACATGCTAATTAGTGACTGATTTGTTTTAAATTTTTTACAGTTTTTCCGCTAACACATTTATGTGCATTGTTTTTACACACATCTTTATTGAAATTAATCACAAAAATTTATTATATTGTATTCCGAATTAAAACTAAATTCAAAAATTAAATTTTATTCTATAATTCTGAAGATATTAGTTCGATAAGTTCCGTTTCAAAATTATCTACATTCATCCACTCAAAATTGAAAAATCAAACGATGTCATTGATGGATCTAATTATGAGGAAGATATATCTATTATGAGGAAGTACAATATTGAAACATAAACTTCAAAGTCTTTGCATCTTCTGGAAAATCCCTCTTTAAGGCTTCAAACACAGGTTTTAAATTTATGTTTGTCTATGGTCGATTTATTTGCAAGCGCTTTAACAATTGGAAGTATATGTAGGTACTAGTATTAATATCAAATAAAAATATATTAATTTTGAAGTTAAATCCAATATTCAAAAAGTTTGAGCACAATTTTGCGCTTTCCTTGCAATCTTAAGTTTAGTTCATTGAGATGTTTAGTCATATCAGTCAGAAACATCGATTTGCATAACCATTCTTTATCGTTCAATTCGGGGTAATGCTGTTCTATTCATTAAGAAGAATTTTAATGTGTGGAAGACATGACACAGGCTTATTCAAGACATTGCCTCGACTAAGCCAATGAACATGGCTGTATAAAGGGAGGTCAACTTTCCATTTCTTCTAAAAGTGATTTAAATTGCCTGTGTGTCAATTTGAGAGAGGTCAACTATTTTAACAACACAGTGTTCATTACAGGAATGAAGCTCTGACGAAATTTTGGCAACAAAACATGCCTAATGTATTATGCAATGGAAGTTCAATGTTTTATGTACTTCTGTAACAAATTACAAATTTTAATTATTCTATCAGCTTCTAAATATACATTGCAATGTGTATGATACAGCATAAGGTTTTGTGGTTAATATTATTGACTACTGACTGTTTAAGAGGTTTGATAGATAGTTGCTTTTCACTGTGAAGCGATTCAAATACCTGGCACCGATAACCGAGGAACTTTATTGGGAAACTTTAATAAGTCTGAATTTTTATTATTGGAAAACTACCATTCACGACGAGTTACTATATCCCAATTTTCTACAGGCTGTCCTAATGCTTCTAAGCACCTTGAATTTTTATTCACTAACTTCTGTTTTTATTGGGAAGTCATTAAACATTCTGTTTATGTGGTTATTAATTATTATTTTGTTATTTCCGAACCTAAGCAATCTCCAAGCAATCTCGTAATTTGCTGTTGATGATGGCAAGAATTTTACCCATATTTCTGGAAACAAGAGATTGTTTATGACTAATGCAATCCAAAGTCCAAATTGTACGAAGAACCCACTTTTTATTTCTACATAGTTTATGCCAAAATTATTTGAATTGTGAAAATTGTGAGGTTCCACTGGTATGCACTCTTGTTGGATAGCAAATATTTGTGATGCAGAATGCATGCATATGTAATAGTTTTAATTTTTTTCACCTCAAGAGGTATTGTCGTTAGTAAAATGGCTTCACCTCTTTGCTCAGATAACAAAAGCGTTTTCCATCACTCTTCGAGCTCGAATCAATCTATAATTAAATTTTTTTTTTCATAGGTCAAGTTTCTGTAAGGATAAGGATTTAATAAATTTTCTTTCAGACAAGAGGTATCGTCACCAACAATAACAACTGGTAATTTACAAATGTAATTTGGTAACTTTGTGGAAGAAGGCAAATTCAGAGCTTTATTGTCCAGCTTCATTTCTAGTATTCTTGTCTGAAACATCACTGTCATGGGTTCGGCCGTTTCGACCCACGTCAAAAACAAGAACCTTGTATTCTGCATCTGCAAGATCTAAAAGTATAATGCTGTGTTTGTGAGATACAGCACTAATGTCCAGCCACATTTTTTTTGAGAATTTTTTCCAGTACTGAAATCAATTTGTCGCTTTTGATATTCAAGAAGCAAAAGAATAGCTTCATGAGTCCATTTAAATGCTGTAATAAACAATTGGCTGTTAAATTATATGCATATTAATCGATTTTGATTTATCTTAATTAAAATTACCTGAATTTTAACTTGGATTTCTCACGGATTCATCATTACCTCCATTTAAATGAGATTTTGAACCTTCAGGTTCTTCTGCGTCGGTTTCTAAATATTTACAATTCGCGGTGTTCCTTATCGCATGAATACTTTATTGATTAATGTTAATGCTATTTCTTTGGCGGTTGCAGTTTTGAGTGCAAATAGCTCGACTCGCCGGGTAGCCGTATCATCTATGATTAGTTCCCAATTATATCGATTTGGCGTCTCAGGTAGTGGCCCAAACAGGTCCACATACATTACTTTAAACCTTTGCCTCATAATCGGAGTTCTCAATAGTCCGGCTGGTTTTTGATTAGACGATTTGTATTTTTGGCATTGCGTGCATGCCCGGACGTAATTGGTGATTTCTTATTTCATGCCGTCCTAGTAGTAACGAGAAGAGATACGTTGGATGGTACGTTCTATTCCTCATGTAGGATCGTCATGATACTCCGCGGCTTGTCCACAGGAGCGCTGATTCTTCTGGTTCGCCGTTTTCTAGACAATTGATTATTCTATTGATCTCCCAACTGACTTTTCCTTAATTGTTTTGCACCTTTAGTGGGTAAGTCAACTTCTATTTGGTTTATCTCTATTTCCTCTGGGACTAATCTGGATAGTGCATCTTTTCTTGCATGTACATATTTTATTACTAAAGTATGTACTTTTATTACTTGGAGTTTGCAGTGACATAGTCATTTTAGCGGTTGGTGATTCGATGTAATGAAGACTTGAGAGTCCTCTATATATCACTAAACTTGTTTACTGCCCAAACTACGGCTAGAGCTTCCCTTTCGGTGGTTGAGTAGTTAACTTCTACTTTAGTTAAAGCCGGCTTGCGTATTCGACTGGATGTTCTTTCTGACCCTCCCCCTGAAGTAGAACTGCCCCTATCGCGTAGCTGCTGGCGTCTGTTCTCGGACAAAACAGGTGCGATGGTTAATACATTTTTCAGCTTTCCGAAGGCTTCCGCTTGTTCTGATTCTCACTTCCATACGGCCGTTTTCTTCGTTACAGATGAAAGAGGACCAGCTACGTCCGCGAATGACGGAATAAATCTCCGGAACCAGGAACAAGTCTGTAAAAACGATAATAATTGCTTAACAAACATTTTACGGTGATGGTATAGCAATTATGGCTGCAATCTTTTCTGGATCGGTCTGGATACCCCCTGGTCGCAAGATGTGTCCATTGTCTTGGTTCATCTCTTGCTTGAAAGTGTTTCAGATCACTCATGTGTTTCTCGAAGATTGGCGATAGTATGATTAGGTAATCTAGATATGCAAACACCTGCATGTCCTTAAGTCCTGCTCTCAATCGATCCATCAATCGTTGGAACGTTGCGAGTACATTCTGGAGACCCAACGTCATTCTCTTGAACGCAGTCCTCTTCCGTGACTTGAACTTGCTAGTATCCAGATCGTAGATCCAGAGTCGACATATATTTGTCTTGATTTGTGATTATTTAAATAAAATGCGACGTTGGATATTAATATATATATATATATATATATATATATATATATATTTATTATAATAAAATGTAGTGAATATAAGGGCGTCAGATAGTTGGTGTTTTTATGCTGAGCTCTAAACTTATACTGAATACAAAAATAGTAAAAATTAACATTAATAATATTAGCCCCGCCCGTAAGAGGCGGGTTACATTAATTTGTGCATCTACGGGGGATGATCTGAAGGCATTTGCAGACCCATAAATAAAATTACCGACGCCGATATAGACAGTCCAGACATATAACTAACATCAAAATAAAAAATATCTTATATTACAAATGCATTTAGCACTTAAACTGTGAATGACATTAGACCACCTGCATCATAGTCCGGCGACACTCTACAAAAAATATTTCATGTGTAAAATGAGATGCAGACAGTCGTCTGCACCCCCAGGCGACAGGCTATCGTACCAGAATACAAGACGGTACGATACCCTTACAAAAAATAGTTCAGATTACCACTATTGGGAATCATTAACTTGGCGGGCACCTTGAAATAATACTAATATTATTTCGAAACTAAAGATACATTAATTATAAGCCTAATAATATAGGTAATTAAAAAAAAAATTAAGAAAGTAATACAAAGTAACTAATTTAAACTTCACTAACTCATGTCACAAATTGAAAGTTATTAAATTGTATTAAATTGTTTGTCATAAAATTGTTTTGTTCCATTATTTTGTACACTTCACTTAGTTTATATATTCACATGATTTTGTTCATTATCAATGGGTAAAACACAAACCTTAGGGGCAGCTCTTTTGAAAACGTTATTTTGAACTTTCACTGTCACTACACGCACTTCCTTATCTAGTCCTGGATGCCCCTCGATAATGCGACCTAATTGCCAATTCAGTGGAGGTACATTATCTTCTTTGAGAAGTACCATGGTTCCGACCTTTAATGATTGGTTTGCACGGCCTGTGCATTTTGTTCTACTCTGCAACTCCGAAATGTATTCCTTATGCCAGCGTTTCCAAAAATGTTGTGCCAAACGCTGCAGGTGCTGGTAGCGTCCTAGTCTATTTTTAGGAATGTCAAGTACATTTGGGATGGAAATAGATGTTAAGAATTTGCCAATTAAGAAATGGCCAGGAGTCAATGGATTTAAATCATTAGGATCGGAACTCAAAGGAGAAATTGGCCTGGAATTTAAAATAGCTTCGATCTGTGTTAAAATTGTATAGAAATCTTCAAAGGTAAGGCATGCATTTCCTAAAATTCGCTTTAAATGCGACTTACATGATTTTATACCGGCTTCCCAAATACTCCCAAAATGAGGTGATTTAGCAGGAATAAAATGCCAATTGATGCCGTCGTCACTTAATGATTTCATAACATTACTAAGGTTATTTTTGCGCAAAAAATTAGCTAATCTTTTAATTTCCGACGATGCCCCGACAAAATTTGTTCCGTTGTCTGAATAAATGTTAGTGGGTTTTCCCCGACGTGCGATGAATCGTCTGAGTGTAGCTAAGAAGCATTCTGATGTTAAATCCGATACTAGTTCTAAATGAATGGCTCGCGTACTAAAACAAATAAATAGGCATATATACCCTTTAATTTTTTTATACCCTCTAGTACGACGATCTCGCAACGTAATCGGACCTCCAAGGTCCACGCCGCAATTCGTGAATGGCAAATGGGGGGTGACGCGTTTTTTGGTAAATCGCCCATTAATGGGGAAATAGAAGTAGGATTAACTTGAAGCAGATGACGCATCTTCGTATAATACCTTTACACAGATTTCTACCGTTGATTGGCCAGTATGTCTCTCTGAGCGTATGCAACAAGCGTTGCGCTCCAGAATGAAAAGATTTGATATGTTCATATCTGGCAATCAACGATGAAAGTGCATGATTTTTAGGTAGAACCATTGGGTGACGCTTATCGTAACCGAAATCAGACAATTTTATTCTACCGCCAACTCTCAAAATACCGTTTTCGTCTAAAAATGGGTTGAGAGATTTTAAATCTGATATAGTTTTTATTGGCTCGTGGTTTGATAGAGATTCTATTTCATTTTTGAATCTTTCACGTTGTGCTAATTTAATTAATTTACGCGAGCATCATTAATTTCGGTGGTTTTTAATTCACCGTGGATACGGTCGCCCTTGTTTTCTTGGCCTTGTTCTTGCAATTTTTAAGGAACCGAACACAATATTCAATGACCCTAACTCACTTTGTATATGATGAATACATATTAAATATTTAGTTGTGGTTTGTTCTATTACTGTTAACGAAACATGTTTAATTTCTTCTTCGGTTTCTGATATGATATCTACGCCAAAAGAAAGTTTGTCAGTGGTATTCAACCAAGATGGACCGAACCACCACAAATCTGAATTAATTAATACTTCCGGTAACATTCCTCGCGAAATTAAATCGGCAGGATTATCTTCTGATCTAACATGGTACCAATTGTTTGGATCCGTATTGGTTTGGATTTGCGAAACCTTATTAGCAACAAACGTTTTCCACTTGTGGGAAGGCGATTTAATCCATGCTAATACTATTTTTGAATCGCTCCAAAGCATTTCGCGATTAATGGAAATTTCTAAATTATCTTTAACTTTATTAACTAATTTTGATAATAAATGAGCCGCGCATAATTCTAAACGCGGCGATGTGATGTTTCGTAACGGAGCAACCCGCGATTTTGCCGCTGCAATATGTACTGAGCAATAAATGTTATCTTATATATAAAAATGGAGCTCTCTTTCAAATGTCCGAATAAAACTCGAAAACGGCTGACTCGATTTGGCCAGTCTAAGTCTTGAAAAATTCGTGCCAATCCAGAGAAAGTCCAAAAGTGAGAATTATTTCAAATCTGCGTAGAAACTTTACATTTTTAATTTGAAAATTTTTGTAGAAGCGTATTTAAATAAAACAATGGACGGTGGCTAATACGCGAAATGTCAAACGTTTTTGACAGATGATGTTCAATTACGTTCAATAGGATATTTTACGTGAAGTGAATATTATTTAATTATGATTAAATTGTAGTAAGTAGTTTGTTAGTAGTTATATTTACACACAAAAACGTTAGTACACGGGTCGCAAGTGTTACTAGAGACTCAAATATCAACTTTTTTGAAATGTTAATATGAAAATGCACTTTTTGGCATATTTTTCTTAAACACGGTGCTCTGAAAGATCTCATTTGTATAATTATATACTCATTGGTATTTATAAAACATTTTCTAGGTTATATTATTTTATTTATGTTATTTAAAGAACCTAAATTTGGTATCGATCAAATGGACATTTTATCGAATAACATTTTTCCAGTTATAATTTCGCAGAATTTATCGAAGAATAGATAGTAATATATGAAGGTCCGGGGTTAAAAAGGTCCACCAGCGATGTGTGAAAAACCAGTAAAGTTAAGCATTGTTTAACAAGAAACTGAAAACTAGAGGGAAAAAGATGTATAACCACTATAATCTTGATTCTTACGACTTTGCTATCTGGAGATAAACTGTAATCTTTGAAAATCCATAATACAAATATTTTCTTCCGTTGTGGTAGTTTTTTAGCATTAGTTAAAAGTGTAATTATTTTGTAAAATACTTTTAAAATCAAAATTAGACATTAAACCTGTTTGCCACCTGTCCGTTCCAAGTTACCCTGTCTATGGGATAGAAAGGTCTAGATAACAAATTTTTGGAAGACATCAAAAAAGCACATTTCTACAATGATGAAGTAGAAGGCAGTTTACTGAACGTAGTCAGATAATTGTTCGTTTGATATGTCTTATTTGTTGTGATATAATTGTTATGGTTTTCACAATATAGTTTATATTTGCTCAAAGTCAAATTAGACCTTTGTGCCTCGCCCTGCTCTACATATATACTTTTTATTAAATTACTTTAATTCATCGAATGTAACTTGAAACTTTTCAAAAAGTAGGTTAAAGAAAAAATACTAATTCATTTTTATCTCTCCTCGCAAAAATTTGAAAATTTGGTATAAGCTCAGTAGTATTATTTACAATTATACACAAAATCCAGAATCCAAAAGAATCTGAAAAACCTGAAACGTAATTAATAAGCCGAAAGACCAAAAAAGACGCATCGGCAAATCCGAGTAATTCACAAATGATAGGATGGTGCAGATACATATGTCTATTAATATTGATGTTATTGATAAATTTTAAATTATTACAAAATTGTGACCATGTTTTGGTTTTTTTGATGGTACTTCTTCGTCTCATGATAATTTGCACTTCCATAACTCTTGCATGATTAATTTTGGAATTATGACTACTGGCGCTAACAGGCCTAATGGATCATAAATTTGAGCCGTAGTGGCTAATATTGTCCTCTTGCTGATTTTATTACTTATAGTGATGCTGTCTGTTGTATATGCAATTTATCAGAGTACGAATTCCATACCATCCCTAAAGTTTTAATTTGTTTCTCGCTGAAATTTGCGATATAATCTTCACTTTGAAAGGCTACGTGATTGCTATTAAATTTTCGTATATTAAACTTGGCTTGATTCAAAATCTTTAATAAATTTTGCTTTATAGTTTTTAACTGCGGTAGAGTATATGCTCCGGTTGGTAATTAGATCATCTTCATAGAAATCCTTTCTAATTATTTCACATTCAATGGGGTAACTTTCATAATTTTCCTTGCACAATTGTTCAAGACATCTTATGGCCAAAAATGGAGCAGATGCTGTACCGTACGTTACCGTATTTAATTC